CGAATGCTGGGAATTCATGAGCAGAGTCATAGAGGTGGAACGAATGCTGGGAATTCATGAGCAGAGTCATAGAGGTGGAACGAATGCTGGGAATTCATGAGCAGAGTCATAGAGGTGGAACGAATGCTGGGAATTCATGAGCAGAGTCATAGAGGTGGAACGAATGCTGGGAATTCATGAGCAGAGTCATAGAGGTGGAACGAATGCTGGGAATTCATGAGCAGAGTCATAGAGGTGGAACGAATGCTGGGAATTCATGAGCAGAGTCATAGAGGTGGAACGAATGCTGGGAATTCATGAGCAGAGTCATAGAGGTGGAACGAATGCTGGGAATTCATGAGCAGAGTCATAGAGGTGGAACGAATGCTGGGAATTCATAGTAAATTTGCTTGCTGTTTTACATTATTGTTTCGGGGATTGAACCTTGAAATTGGGTTAGTCAACAGTGTTTGCCATTATTATTATAGATGCATGGACAGAATTGAAATAGGACGGGGTAAAGTTGACTTATGTTTTACAGGAATGAATGCTTAGGTCAGGTTAAAGGGCAGTATAGTCATCGCGCCGCGTATGCGAAAGATATATGGGTCTCGTATAAACAAAGATGGCGACTTTGACTGTTGCACAGATTGACGAGTACAAACTGAGACATTTCCAAGCTTTAATTAGGTAATTTTTAGGTGATTGGAAGGTATCGAAAGAGTCCCTGGCAGTAATCAGTGCAAGCCGCGCCCAGGTCATACTTGTGATTTCCATTTGACGACCACCACGCTTTAAGTCAAATACATTGTCTGAAACACACAGTTTCACATTCTCAATGTAAACATACTTCCCTATGAGCCCAAGAGAATTTGACGCAGACACAGCAGTCAATGTGTCTGCAGTTCCTTTGATGTAAAACATGAAACCTCTGCCTCAGGTATGCATCGAACAGTCTGTGCAAATCCTAAAGTCTTATTAGTTCACAGTTCTTACCACTGATACAGTTGCTATGTTTTCAAACGGTTCAAAATTTATGTTCATATACTGAGAGCAATTATATTACGATAACAGCATGCATTGTACACATAAATATTACTGTGCATTTCACAGTGGCCGTATTTCATAGCTGTGTTTCTTTAGTTTAGTAGAACAATTAATAGATTGAATTGATATAATTAGTTGGATTTTTTTGCTCTCAAATAACTGATTGTGAAATGTTAAAAAATCTTCTACTGGAGACATTATCTATTTAGTCCATGATACAGCTATAACAAGTGATTTGATTGAACAATGCATTGAAAAAAATATCCCTAATATTGCCAAAAGGGCACACTTAAATATATGTTGGCTAAACAAAAATCTACTAAGGTGTAGGGGTGAGGTAATGGCTGAATAAACAAACCTTGGCTGGAGCCGAATTTGCCATTATAGTTATACATGTAGGGTAGGTAGGGATGGATGCTCAGTCAAATGGTGTTTGTTATGATTGGTAAACCATCTGGTATCCAGTATATGCATAGGATTGGTAGACCATCTGGTATCC